TTCAACTTTTATTTCCTTTGGTTTTGGGTCTGTAAGACATCCTAGTAGTAGGATTTCGGGTCGGGGGTAGGGCTTTCCGGACTGTAGGGCTGTTCAAGGCTGGCCACCTGTGAGAATCGGAAGCGCCCGAAAGAATGGAGAGCCAGTGAGCTGCAGGTTTAGGGTTTAGGGTTTAGGGTTTAGGGTTTAGGGTTTAGGGTGCAGGCCAACAAGCTGGAGCAGATGAAGGACAACCAGGTCCTCGAGGACTTCGCGACTGCTCAGGGTTTAGGGTTTGGGGGGCTTAAAGATTTCGAGGGCGCATGCCTTCAAAGGTCACCCTCATCACAAATGGGGGTTTCCGAAAGTTAGGGGGCCGGAGGAGTGGGGAGTGTTCGGGAACCTGGGGTTACATACCCCTGGGAGCCTCATGGCGCTGTGAGGAAGGACATTCGACTGTGTGCCTCGCCTGGCTTGCCTGAGTGCGAGTGATAACACCAAAACCCTGGGTACTCGTCCCTAAACCCTAAACCCTAAACCCTAAACCCTAAACCCTAAACCCTAAACCCTAAACCCTAAACTGTGTGACATCCTTGGGCACAGGAGTTTGACGAGAAGCTTAAGAGGGACTGGTCATGGCTAGAGCTGGCCTTCTTCTTCCCTTTCAAGCTCATCTTGGTGATTGTGCCGCTTGATGTGAACCTTTTTAGGTTGAGGGTTTAGGGTTTAGGGTTTAGGGTTTAGGGCTTAGGGTTTAGGGTTTAGCGATGAACTTTTTAGTCCATTGAGCGTGCCGGTCTGTCAAGAGTGTCTGGCAGCAGCCAAGAAAAGCTCCCGATGTCATTCCGCAACTATCGCAGAGTCTTCCAGACGATCTACCACACAGGGTGTAGATCTGGAACCATGTCAGGTTCACGGTCCTGTTCGTCGAGCTGCCCCAACCTCAGCTGTCTGCGCGAACGGCACATGCTATGAATACAGGACTTGCCACCTAAACGTTCAACCAGTTCTGCCAGAAGTACCGCCGCTGCAGCACGTGCTTTTTATGAAAGATCTCGGATTGGAGTTTCGAGTTTCAGGGTTGGGTAACTCCCCCAACTATTCGAACCAAGCTTAGCACCTTTAGCGTGACCCGGCCAGGTACTACCAGAGGAATTGTGTCCAGGGCGCAAACGGTGGGCTGGTCTCGAAAGACATGCACTATCCAGTGAGCACGCGCTTCAGTGGCCAAGCCGCAAGTCGTCGACCTGTCCGTCCTACACTCTTAAAATCCTTCCCCCGCCAAAAAGGGGGGTGGAGAGAAGGAGGTGGGCCGAGGGGGGGGGTGGGGTTGGGCAAATATTGAACAATGAGAGGGCCGCAGCTTATTGGGGATCTACTGGGTTGCTGGTAAAGAACTGACCTCAAGTTGCCAGAATTGGGAAACCACAATTTTACCCCAAATCCCGAAGCCCTGAAACCTAGCACAATCCAAGCATGTTGTGGGGAACAGGGGGCCCGAAACTCCCTAAACCTCAAAACCCTGGATCTCAGTCGGAGGGTTTTTTTTGAAGGGGGGTTTTGGGCTTTTCGGTTCGTAGTCAAAAAGGTGTTCCAGGGTTGAGAGGGCCCTTTTCAATGTGCATATGCAAGACCCAGATGAAACTCCGATCAAATAATCGTATTGTGATCCATGAGTGCCCTGCTACTTAAGCCTTGTGAGAGCCCCACATAACATCCAAGCACCAGCGAAACCAAGTCCACTGCCTCCTCGCGCGACCGTCTTTTGGTCGAAGCACCCCTGAACCCGAAACCCCGAACCCTAAACCTTCAAACCCTACCCCTAAACCCTAAACCCTAAACCCTAAACCCTAAACCCTAAACCCTAAACCGAAGGCCCCTGAGGTTTTGTGAGGCGACACCCGAAAAAGCCCCCGAAGATCCCCGAAGCTCGGAACCTCAACCCAGGCTTCCTCACGGCCCGGGCCCCAGAGGGTTTAGGGTTTAGGGTTTAGGGTTAGGGTTTAGGGTTTAGGGAGCTTCAGGGACTCAGAGGGTTCTGAAGGTTTCTGGTTTTGGGCCGTGCTAGGGCTGGCGGCTGTAGGATTTGTGTCGCTGAGTTTAGGGGGTCAAGGGCGTTTTGGCAGCTCAGCCCAAAAACCTCCCTCACGTGGTCGGAGCCCAAACCAAGAAGCCCGGAACCCTAAACCCTAACCTGCGACGTTTCGTGTTGCCACTGCAAGGCACTGGGATCACTATACACATATATATATATATATATCTGTACATATATATATATATATACAGATGTATATATGGACCCTTGATTCGGGTAAACCCCAAACCCTCCAAACCCTAAGCCCTGCTCCCTTGCCTGTGCTGAGACCGCAAACGTTAAAAGAAAACAAAAACGGCCAAGGGCTCATTGTTATGGGCCCACGGCCTTATATAATCATATATTAGTCTATTTATATAATGATATAATAATATAATAATATAATAATTTAATAATATAATATTATAATAATATAATAATATATTATACTAGTATAATCATATAACAATCGAATAATAGAAAAAATAGAAGGATCCGCAATAGAATATTTTAACAATGCAACCACGTATAATACAAACATTCAGTTTCAACTTTGCACTCCAAAGCTGAGGCCTTCTTCAATGGCTTCTTCCCGTCTCTCGGAGGTTTTAGGGTCTAGGGCTTCGGGTACCTGAGAGAGGGAGGGAGAGAGAGGGTTCAGCTGTTTGGGGTTTAGGGTTTAGGGTTTAGGGTTCTTAGGGTTTTTAGGGTTTTTAGGGTGTTTAAGGTTTTTAGGGTTTTTAGGGTTTTTCGGGTTTTTCGGGTTTTTCGGGTTTTTAGGGTTTTTAGGGTTTTTAGGGCTAAATCTCAAAGCTTTCGGTAGGAAGCAAGGACATCCCCCAAGTGCAGGGCAGGCATGCTCAGATCCCAGAAAGCCCCACGCATTCCTCACGCAGCTTATGTAATGCAGGAGCCTCGGCTTGGCGTCTTCTGGAAGTTTGAAAGTAGCACCGGGGTTTGGGGTTTAGGGTAACCCTAAAGAACCCCAAACACTAAGCCCTATGTAAGCCCTAAGCCCTATGAACCATGTCTCATCCGAGGCTCCCAGTGGAAGAGGAGCCTTTTTGGGTCATGCCAGACCACCAATCCGCGTAAGGGAGGCCCTTCGGAGCTCCCCAGGGTATCAGGATACTTCAGCACATCTGCACCCTAAACCCTAAACCCTAAACCCTAAACCCTAAACCCTAGCCCCTAAACCCTGAACCCTGAACCCTAAACCCTAAACCCTAAACCCTAAACCCTAAACCCTAAACCCTAAACCCTAAACCCTAAACCCTAAACCCTAAACCCTAAACCCTAAACCCTAAACCCTAAACCCAAACCCAAAACCCTAAACCCGAAGCCCTCAGGTCCAGAAGCCGCTAGACGGCAGAGCCTTGAATCCCAAAGAAGTCGTCAGGGTGTCTGTTTGCAAAGTCCCCCATCGGCCTTTCCAGAAGCATGTTGCCGAGGTTTAGGGTTTAGGGCTTAGGGCTTAGGGCTTAGGGCTTAGGGTTTAGGGTTTACCGAGGGACCCTAGCTTAGGAAATCGTTTCAGCTCTTTTTTGGCGGCCCAGGGTGTGGCCAGTCCGTGGTTCAACCAACCAGCAAACCCCTAAACCCTAAACCCTAAACCCCCTAAGGGCAAGCTTAAAATCCTGCACCCGCAGCCTTCCCGGCCTGCGGCGCCCTGTGTGGCTAGAGCCATTCTCCTGGCCTTGGCAAAAAATGGTGGAGGGTTTAGGGTTTAGGGTTTAGGGTTTAGGGGGGGTTGGAGATGTTTATTCAGACTCTAGACTGCAGCTTGCTTCAACCTGGTTGCTCTATGTGGCTAGCGCGAACAAAGGGGGCAGATGGAAGAAGCGATATCTTTGGCCCTTTGCTGGGGGTTGGATTGCCCTAAGGCCCTAAAGCTGAAGAGGGCCCAAGGTGCAGGGCACGCAGCATCAAAAGCATCACAACAAGCCATTGCAAAGGCCAAGGCTCTCACACGCGTTTCCTTTCCACCAGTGATGCGTTTCTCAGGCTAACCGTAACATACCGTAGCCCTTGAGTCTCAAACCCTAGCCGCCCTAAACTCTTACTGATGGACGTGAGAAACGCTTTGGTTGCCGTTGCCGGGCCGACTTTTCACCTACTTCTACTGATGCGAGCCATAGTCCATCCAGTGTGAGTATTGTCTAAGAGTCGCCCTGTTTAGGCTTGATTGACTTGAGGGATCAGCTGAGTTTTTGCTATGGCTAATTTGGCTTCTGGCCTGGCCAGGCAGATATTTTTCTGTACTTCAGTTCATTGTCATTTGGTGCCAACTTGAAGTGTGGCCTGGCCAGTGCTGTATGTATGTTTTGTGGGTTTCAAAAATGCATGATGAGGGAGTGCCGAAGACGACACCCTCGCTTGCGCATTGGTGGTTGGGCAGAAGGATACAACTGTCAAAGGTTCACGCCCTTGTCCGCAGAAGCGCATGCTTCAAGCGTCCTCGGAAAAGACACTTCAATCTAGCCGCTAGCCATTCGCTTGGCTTCATGCTGATAGGCCCCCCCTTTGATGGAGTCCGAGGTGTCCTAGCTTTGGTCTGACGAAAGAGTCGGGCTGATGTCGTAGAACCGTAGGATTCGTGCAGAGACCTTAAAAAAGGCTTTGGCGCTCTTGGGAGTGGAGTGCGAAAGCTGTGCGCAGGCCGCTTTTTGGCCTGCTGGCTCTTGTTGTGCCACGTCCTCTCTCCTTGCTCGGAGCAGGCATAGTACAGCGGTATCGCAGACGGCTGCTGAAAGTGGGCTAAGGCCATGAAGACATGGTTTTCACGGGCAAGTAGCATATGTGTGAAATAAAATTTGCCGCAAACACACAACCACCCCAGCCAGCTCAACCACTCACCTTGCATGCCATCAGGGCCTCATGCAGACGTGAAACGGTGACCACTTCCCACAACAGCTGCAGCTTCTTTGCAGCCTCGGGTTCTCGGGCCATGGTTTCGCGCGGTCGTGGCCCGGCACGGTTGGGTTGCTGCTTAGGCCTGTCTGTTGCAGCATGGGCGGCGGCGGGCTGTGCATTCAGCTTGGTCTCTGGACGATCCTTTGTCATAGTGGGGTAACATTTTACATCTTTAAAGGGCACTTAAACTCAATAAGTGATAGAAGGTTAGTTTTTTTATACCATCCCAACCATGCACCAGGAACATCTCGGCCGGTCTTGTCGAGGCCTGGCGGAGTGGCGTGTCAGGCGGAGGATCCCTTCGCCCAGCGTGGCGGCATCGCTGCGGCCGACTTGATCCGGAAGCCCCCGGTGGAGAGCGAGCGCGGCGGCTTTGTGCAGAAGAGGCCGCAGGGTGATAGGCAAAGGCCTGGCTACAACCAGGGCGCTCAGATGACCCGTGGGAGAAGGAGTTTTCGAGTAGCCGAAGAGGATGAAGAGGACGGGGAGGATGTGAACCTCACCAAGGAAGAGAGAGACTTGGTAGGCCCTTGGGACATTTTCTATTTTTCCTTTATTTAGGGGTTTTTAGAGGTTCCTATCTATCGGAATTGTTTTAAGAGGTTTTAGGGGGCATCCTAGGAGAGGAGCGCTTCCGGCAGCAGATTCACAGGCCAGTGACCTTGACGACCTTCATCAAGCGCGCTGAAACTCCGGAGGAGTTCATGTGGATTGTCTGGACAGCCAACGACGAGACCATGCCTCCTGCCCCAAACTCTAAACCCTAAACCCTAAACCCTAGTTTTTGAGCTCAACTCTCTCGTTGACTTCTTAACGCAAGAGCACTGAGCACACCGAATCTTTCACCAACAACAAGCAACGAGGGTACAGAAGCCTGCATAAAACACAGCCACGGCTTAGGGATACTTGGAATAACTTTTAATTATTGGGTACTATACTTCCTAAGAAGCAGCTAAAAGTGTATTGTTTTTGCTAGGGTTCTCAAGGTCAGTATGGGCTAAGGCTGAACCATATTCATCTTGCAGCTGCCTTCCACAAGCTGGCGGCCTTGAAGAAGACGCATGCGCCCTTCCGCGACCGGATTCGCAAGAGCCCCCTGCTCGTGGCTAGGTGTGTCCTTGGGAGCTGCTTTGCTGGTCCCAGTCCGAGCGATTGCATTCCCCCCCCCCCCCCCGCCCCTCTCCACTTCAGCTATTTTGATTCCCCTAAACCCTAAACCCTAAACCCTAAACCCTAAACCCTAAACCCTAAACCCTAAACCCTAAACCTTAAACCCTAAACCCTAAACCCATACAAACACCCAGTAGGGGGGAAGGGATTTAGCCCCTGAGGTAGACATGGCCAAACAGGCCGCCCGGGTGGCGGACCGGCGGGAGTTCCAGGGGCGTGAGATTGCCAACATGCCCCTGGGCGCTGCAGGGTTTAGGGTTTAGGGTTTCGGGTTTAGGGGTCAGGGGGGGTTGGTGATAGGGCGTAGATGCTGTGAAGGTTAGGTTTCGGAACAAGCTCGAAAGCTTGGACCACACCGAACCTGTGGGTGAAGCGGAGGGGCAGGCCTGCCTCCAGGGGGTTCAGGGAGGCCAGGGGGGCCAGCGGGGCCAGGGCCAGAGCAGGCAAGTCAGGTTGGGGCTGATTTTTGAGCACCCGCCCTGCCTGGGCCGGCCCGAGGCCCCTGGTCCCTGAGCACGCTGCGGCGAAGGGTCCGGGTCCTCCTGGCTAGGCCCGGGGGTACCCTCGCAAAAAGGCCAGCCACGCCCAGGCCAAGGAAGGGTTTAGGGAGAACGTGGGAGGCGGGCGAGCGACTAAGCGCCGCCCCCCAACGTAAGGGGGGTGGCCTAGGCCCTGAAGTTAGGGTTTAGGGTCTAGGGAAGTTTGCTCTGCGAAAACTCGTGTGGTTTCACGTTGAAGAGGGGCAGAGAACCAGAGTCCTGGGCTTAGCAATTCATCTTGAAGTAGGATGAAATCATCTGGAAGTTCAGGGGCAGAAGGTTAGTTCGGCCGCATTCCTCAAACAATTCGGAGTTTGGAGGTCCCGGCGTTGCATGACATGCATGGCTTTCGTGTTGCGACCCGCTCTCTTGGAAGCTTCTTTCGGGGTTCCCTTGCAACAACCGTGTGACGGCCCAGATGCCTCGGGGTTTAGGGTTTAGGGTAAAGGTTTATAACAGGGTTTAGGGTTTAGGGACAGAAGCTCCCGAACGCCCGAAAACCCAAACTGGCCAGAGAGGGAGAAGCAAGCAGAACCCATGAACCATGCATCTATAGGCTCATTTCCGCCGCCTCCTTGCGGACGGAATTTCCTTGGCTTCTGGGCACCGAACTTCGTAAGTCTGCTTCCATTTCTGCACGTCTTAAACCCTAAACCCTCAACCTTAAACCCTCAGCCCTAATTTTTGCCCTAAACCCGCAACCCGAACCCTAAACCCTAGCCAGGGTCCTGGCAGCGTGACGTAGTCGTTGTTGAAGTCTGTTGTTGTGATGTTTGTTCGGCGCCCGGGCTAAACATCCGTGTGATGGTTGTCCTCGTGTCGATGCTAGCGTGGTGGAGGCTGTTTCGTGGTTGCAGTTTCAGATGCTCAACAAGACTGTTGTTAAGTGATGCGGCTTGACTGGTGCCTTGTGCCCCAAGAGGTGATCAGATCCTACAGTAACGGCAGGAAGAGCAATGACAAACAATGACTTCTTGTTGACGTTACGATAAAAAGAAAGTGCACGAGCGCTGTGCCAGTTACCGAGATCTTTAAGTCGCTTGGCCACTGATCTTGACGTGACAGTTCATTGTTGTGCGCGTCAGCTGCATACTTGGCTGTTCCGGCAGTCCCATGAAGGCCCCCGCAAGAGGTCTGAGCCCTAGCCCTCACGTAGTTCCTTTCTTAACATGGGTTAAGATCTTATAGAAACCGAAGCAAGCCCAACGGGTACCGTTTTGGTCCCAGGTTACTGGGCAAGCTAGCTGAAAGGGCCCCATGCCAAACTTTCACAGCCCTCTAAGGGCTTTTGGGTTTAGGGCTTCCTTGCCAGCGTAGCTCTTGTTTGCACACTTGGCGTAAAATCAGACGCCGCAGGCATCCCTAAACCCTAAACCCTAAACCCTAAACCCTAAACCCTAAACCCTAAACCCTAAACCGTTGGCAGAGAAGTTGATGTTGCGCCGACGTCCAGGAAAAGACCAGCCCAAACCCCAAACCCCAAACGCTGAACCCTTAACTCTCATCCCTAAACCCTAAACCTTAAGCCTCATCAACCCCAAACCCTAACCCTAACCCTAAACCCTAACCCTAAACCCCAAACCTTAAGCCTCATCAACCCCAAACCCTAACCCTAACCCTAAACCCTGAAACTGCAATAGGCAAGTGGCAGAGCCGCTTTGACAAATTTGACAAAAGGGGCTCATGCCCTCCCCGCGTCGGCAAACCCCACAGACGTTAAAACAAGAAACAGCCCTCTCGAGACATTTTGGACTTTGGCCAAAGGGCCGTTTAGGGTTTAGGGTTTAGGGTTTAGGGTTTAGGGTTGAGGTTAGGGTTGGGCATGTTCCCCTTTATACTAACAGTCCTTAAGTGGGATAGTATAAGGGGGGACATCCCAAGTCATATGCCTCAATGTAATAGTATAGGGTATATGATCCCAATTTTGGGGTTTATTTGTTCCCCAATGTACTATTTCCTTAAGCCCCCCCCCCCCCAAGTATTGTTATCCCTAAACTGCCCTAAGAAGGAAGCATATATATATATATATGTATATATATATGTATATATATATATGTATATATGTATATATGCACACTTCATTTTCCACACTCTATTTTCTGGGTGGTTTCTAAGCAACTGGTAGCAATGGAAAGTAAACCCTCCTGATCCCTGCATAAGCCTGCGCCCAGGATTGGCGAAGTCCTGGGCGTGTCATTGGCTGCGAGAGTGCCCGAGATCCTCGGTGGCCGTTGAGGTTAGGCTAAGCCCTAAACCCTAAACCCTAAACCCTAAACCCTAAACCCTTTCAGGTGTGCGCTTCGACCGCGGACCTTGGGTTTTGCGATGTTGTGATTGTGGACAAGTTGTGCAGTTTTGTTCGGACCCGGGCGTCCTGCTGTGCACGTCTTTCTCCCGTATTTGAATGTGTTTCTTGCGTTGGAGGTGTAGCTGAGAGTAATGCTCGCAGGGCTGCCAGCACAGGTTCGTGTTGGCTGCTGGAAGTTAGAGCACGCCTTAGGCATAGCATGTTTTGGCCAATATGCTGTCTACTGGCGGTGAATCGGTCCGGAATGACCTCAAAAAGGACTGCGAGGTTCGGGGCTTAGGGCCTTCGTGTTGTCGAAAGTTCGACTGGGTTTAGGGTTGAGGGTTTATAGGGTTAGGAATTTGGGGTATATAGGGTGTAGGGTACGAGCAAAAGGGCTTAGGGGGCTTCAATGCTGGCCGGAGCCCAGGAATGTGGAACGGATGACGCCGCAGGCCCTGGCGAGCACGATGCACCTTGGCTTTTTGTTGGGCAATGCTTTGCTGCCTGTATGGTTCACATACCTTCATAGGAACTACCACCGCAAGTTTTAAGCTTCTTTTGGTCCCCCCATTTTGAGAAGAAAGTTTTCTTCGTGACATTGGAGTTGTAGGGTCCTTAAGGGAGGGGGCTTCATGGGGGGTAGGTATACCTAGGAAACCGTCGGGAAGCTCAGGGAGCCCTAGGGAGTAGTGGGGAGTAGTCGGGAACCTTGGGTTACACACGCCCCTTGAACCCCCTTCTGTTCAGCGCCCTATGATTGCACGTAAACCCTAAACCCTAAACCCTAAACCCTAAACCCTAAACCGCAGACATTCCAGGTACGGCCTCGGGGTTCTCAATCTGGGGGACAAGAAGGAAGTCGCCGAAGCCATGCGCAGCTGCGCCGAGGTGATTCCGGTCCAGCTGGGCCGGTCCCCGGCTTGCACAAGAGAACCATCCTGTGGGATGTTCCCCCCTTATGCTAGTAGGGGTGGGGGGGGTAGTATAACTCCTACATTATACTATCAGCTCCTTAAGAGAGTTGAAAATATTGGTACTAGAATCCCTAGTAAGGACTGTGAGTATAAGGGGGAACATCCGAAGGCATCTTCTGCAACATAAACGCAGCCATAGCAAAGTGTGCTGAGTGTAGATGTAGGTTCGCGTGTAACAGAGAGTAGGGCAGAGCCTTTTCTGATGCTTCCTGTCTCATCATGCCTGCTTGTTTGGCCCGCAAGAGAAGTGAAATCGCCAGGCCCTTCCTGCAAGCTTTTGAAAACCCGCAGCCCTGCAAGCCCTAAACCCTAAACCCTAAACTAAACCCTAAACCCTGAACTCTAAACCCTAAACCCTAAACCCTAAACCCCAATCCTTGTCGAACGGGGGGCTATAGGGCCTTGCTTCCCTTGCCCGCACGAGGTTCACTTCTCAGGATGTCGCGCAGGCACTTGGGCTTGATTGTGGCCCCTGTAGGGGTACCCGGGTACCCTACATGTAGGGTCTAGGGTTTAGGGTTTAGGGTTTAGGGTTCAGGGTTTAGGGTTTAGGGTTGGGGGTTGAGGGTTTCGGGGTTAGGGCACGCACAGGGTTTAGGGTTGCCTCGGCGGCCTAGCTATGAGTAGGCATCGAAAAGATGGATCCTAGTTTCGACACATCAAGCTCTAAACTACCTTCATTCCACGTTTTCGCTTCTAAACTCTCTTCTAAGCCACCGTCAACAGAAACGACAGGCTACCCTTCTTCGTTTCTAGTTTTCCAGGCAACCGGGAGACCTAGATCCTCCAGTTTAGGGTTTAGGCTTTATTTTAGGGTTTAGGGTTCAGGGTTCAGGGTTCAGGGTTCAGGGTCTTGCATCCTCAGACCCTCAACCCTTGCTTGCCCCTTGTCTCCTTAAAGGCGGAGCGCCTGAAGCTGCCTTTAGTCAGTCCACCCAAGGCACTTCACTCGCCCAGCGAGGAAGCGACATGACCACAAGAAGACCTTAGTCCCCTGAGGCCCTTTGAAAATGGCCAGCAAAAGCAAGTCCAAACCCTAAACCCTACACACTAAACCCTAAACAATGTCTCTGAGACTAGACAGTGTGTGTGTGTGTGTGTGATCCGCCTGGCCCGTCCGAGTGTGAGAGGTTAAACCCTGAAGAAAACACAGCCTCAAGCGAGGAATGGTACCTCAGCTTTTTCAGCAACGGTCCCGAATCAAACTGCCACCTCTCCCTTCTGGGCCGGCGCAAGATTTGTTCACGGAGCGCATCAGCCCGAACAGTTGAACCCCTGAACCCCAAACCCTGAACACCAAACCCTAAACCCCAAACCCCAAACCCCAAACCCCAAACCCCAACCCCCAACCCCCAAACCCCAAACCCTAAACCCTAAACCCTAAACTCAACTCAGCCATTGAGACTTCTCGAAGGTGGCCTGGGGCCTGGGCGCGCGGGAGTCCGCAAATGAAGCGGGGGAGCGCCAGGGCTGTAACACCAGGCTTTTGTGCTTAGGGGAAGAACATGGAAGTGGAAGGTCAACCCTAAACCCTAAACCCTAAGCCCTAAGCCCTAAGCCCTAAACCCTAAACCCGAAACCTCCCGCCAAGTGCTTTTCCCTATTTCTGGTTCAAGGTTCCCTTATTTTAAGTAACCAACCCCAAAAAAACGGGTACCCTTATTACAATATGGTTACTGGGCCACCAAGCCCTTGTAAAGTTGGGGTCAGATACCCTGGACTACTATATTTCCTGTTTAAGGCAAACCCTAAACCCTAAACCCTAAACCCTAAACCCTAAACCCCTGAGTCATAAACCCTTTTGGGTTCATTTGGTCCCCAAGGTCCTTCTGAGCTTTTTGATTCGGGGCTCGGGGGAGCTTTGTCTGCGCAGACTCGACAACCCAAAAAGGCCTTCAGCAGTTGTAAGTTGTCGTGGCTTGTGCAGGTTGTTCTGAGAGCACCGAGATTTTGCCCCAGAACTTCAGTATGTGTTTCCATCACTTGCTCAACCTCTCCTCCCTCCTGCGCCCCGCGCTGTGTCTTCCCAAAGCCGAGGTACGATAGACGCGGGTAGGGTGGGGGCGAGGTGTTGCGAGGGTAGGGTGATGATGATGATGATGATAATGATCTTGATGACCATGATGATGGTTTTTCTTCGGTTGGCGATTATCAACAGAATCCTTCTTATCCTTGTCTTGTATCAAGCCGACTGTGTTTGGGCTGTCGAGCAGCCGTTTGGCTGGAAGCCAACCTTTGCGCACCAGAACATGGAATGTTGAACCAGAGAAGCTTCGCTTCGGATGTTCCCCCCAATACTAGCAGTCCTTAATGGGGATTGTAGTAGGGGGTACTACAATCCCTATGTAGGACTGTTCGTTTAAGAGGAACATCCCAAAGAGGAGCCATCAAACGCAGTTCGGGGGTTCAGTTTAGACTTTCGGGATGTTGTGGCTGCAGCCAGTCGACACATACATGAACCCAAAAAGGGCTTAATTAGGACTCGTAATGATGCCTTAAACGAATTATAGCAGTACAGGGTCTCCGACCCCAATTTTAAGTCTGAAGTGGAGCAGAGCCGTGCTCTGCCTTGTGCTGAGGCTCCTCGATGCCATCGAGGGCTGGGTGATCAGTCAGGATGGCCCCGGGGTTTTCTGCCTGGGGTTTGCCGCGGGGGTTTGGGGGGGGGGGAGGGGGGTTGGGGGGGTGTTTGGGGGGGCTTCGAGGTCGGGTTTTGCTACTTCTGCGGGCGAACAGTTTTTGCGGGGAGGAGCCTGAAGAATCAGACTTCGCTTCTTGAGGATGGCTGTTGCATGCTCTTGCCATGGTATCCCCATGGGAAGGCCCTACAAAGAACAGGGAGCACAGGGGTCTGAACCGCGCCCCCACCTTAAACGTGATTCAAAAGCAGCCGCAGGTTGGCGGCTGCAAGCTTCCAGGGTTGAGGGTTTACGGTGTAGGGTTCAGCGTCTCAGGCATTGCTTTGAAAAGCTTAAGCCCTGAAATCAACTCGTTTGGGTTCGGGGCAAAAAAGGGTTTAGGGGCTTCAAAAGGGCTTGGGTTTAGGTTTAGGGTCCTCGACCCGCGAAGGGCTGTGTAAATTCAGGCCTTGCGTCGCCTAACTGCGAAACATGTTTCACTCCACTGCTTGGCGCAAGACTCTCTGGCAGAGCGCGCCCTGACTCTTAAAACCCTCAAGTCCTGAGCTTGAAAAAAACCCAAACCGAAACCCCAAACCCTAAACCCTAAACCCTAAACCCTAAACCCTAAACCCTAAACCCTAAACCCTAAACCCTAAACCCTAAACCCTAAACCCTAAACCCTAAACCCTAAACCCTAAACCCTAAACCCTAAACCCACTCCTAAGCCAAAGAGGCGAAGAGATTGAGCCCACGGTCTGCCGTTCTGGACCTGCCAATGATCGCCATGGCTTTTGCCAGGCAAGGCAGTTCGGGTGATCTGGGGCGTGCAAGGTTTAGGGGGTTTAGGGTTTCGGGCGGTTAAGAGTTTAAAATTTAAAAAAGGTTTTCAGTTAAAAAGGGTTTTGGGTTTTGGGCTGATGCCAACGCTTGGTCATGTGCAAATGTTACATTGAGCACTCTGGGTTTTGCCGTGTGTACGTAGGCAGTGTCGGGACGTTGACGTGTGGCAGACGCTCAGACACTCTGCGTCTGAGTGTCTGTTTTTCAGTTTGCGCCCCATATGTACACGGCCGTTTCCGCGCGTCAGACGCGAAGACGCTCACTCACACACCCACACACCCAGACAGTCAGATTCCCAGACGCATTGCAGTTTGAGGGAGCGTCTGACTGTCCAACTTCTTGAATGGGCGGGGCTTTGATTTGCACCCCTTGTGCACCACCTTTGGGGCCTGTTCTTCCTGTTGTTTTGGCTGCCGGATTGCCATGAAACTACTACTTGATTAAGAACCACCCTTCTTCCACATAAGGTCAATACATAATTCGCATTCTTTGTTCTTATTCTTGCTGTTGTTGTTTTTTTCTAAGGGCGGGGGGGGGGGGGG